CGTGACGTCACCGTACCGAGACTCATGGGCTGGGCGGTACCCACTGCTCTGCGTGTGGACCCCCCCCCCCCCCTGCCTCACGTGTCCCTCTCGCACCCACACGCGCAAACCAGGGGCAGACAAGGACAGCGATAGTACGAGGCCCCGCGGAAGCGTCCCGGCGCGCAAAATACACAGACACACACATACACACATGCACGCTCTCTCTCACGTACACGTACCACCGGGGTAAGCGGTCCGAAACGCTCGCCCGCTCGCTCGCTTTGTCGGCCGCCGTGGGCTCCGCGGCTTGGCTCCCGCGCAGCTCGGACTCGGACGCGGCCCGCGGCCATGCGACGCGCGGCTCGACGGACAGCCCGGGCCAGTCCAGTCCGCAGGCGCCGCCAGGCACGGGCGCACCTCACCCTGGGCCCGAGCACCGCGTCAGAGCACCGCGTCGTGGAGGCCACGAATACGGACCCGCGGAGCACCGCGACCGACACCGTGGACTGACAGCTGCAGATGCACGCGGCCGCCATGGGTGGCGACGGCTGCACCTGCAGGTGCGCGTGCGCGTGCACGCCCCGCAGGTGCCCCGCTGCCGCGCGCCTGCTGTCACCTCTGCTCCTGGCCGCCGTCCTGCTGCAGCTGCTGCTGCCGCTGGCCGCCGCTGCCTACCCGCAGGTCCACGCGCACGACCTGTACGTAGTGCTCCAACACCAACCCCTCCGTCTATCTGTGTGAGCGGGAGTTCGCCCCCCCCCTCCCCCGGACACCGCCGTAGACCGCCTCATCCCGCCTCATCCGCCGCAGTCTTAAGGGGGCTATAAAGGGTCATTTTCTCCGTGCGACAGTGTGCGTGCCATACGTGTTTGTAGTGTGCGTGTGTGAGTGTGTGTGAGAGTGAGTGAAAGAGTTAAACAAGTGGGGCGGGGGGACTTTCCGCGGTGCGCTTCCACTGCGGGTCAACCACCCCCGCAACAGAGGGCCGTTGTCCGTGGGGTTCGCGCGACGGCCGACGGCAGTGCCGGGTGAGGGATGGCGACGCGGTAACGGTCGAGGCGTAAAGCGTTGTTAGCGACGTGCCCATGACGTTGTGGGGGGTAAGCTAAGGGCGTAATTGTCGATGTGATGGTACCGTTGAAAAGCTTACGTTTTCTGTGGCAAGCGGCAGCTGAATCGACATCGAAACAATGCCCAAAGAGGTGGAATCGACGCCGTCGGAACGATGTCATTTTGATGTAAATTTCTCACAAGGGGTGACTCTCTGAGACTTTGACGGTGTGAAAGTAGTGGCGTACAATGAGGGGGCATGTGGTGAGGGAAACGTAACATCAGCGCCGCGCGAAGCTCTTTTGATTTGAAAGTGTTTTCGGCAGTGTGCCGGTGGTGGTGGTGACGGTAACGCTCTTTGTGTCCCGCAGGAGGAGCGAGGACGGCCCCGAGGTGCGCGCCGAGCAGGGCGTGCTGCGCGGGGTGTGGGTCCTCGGCGCGGCCGGGACGGGGATCAAGTTCGCCGCTTTCCGAGGGATTCCGTTCGCCGCGCCGCCCGTCGGTCCTCTCCGATTCAAGGTCAGCACCACCGCCCGAGCGACGCCAGGCAACTCAACCTCGCACTCACACTCACGGTACTCATTAGCCAGCTCATCGACACGCCGCCACAGGCACACGCACGCCGCGGGGAGTCCGGTAGCCGTGTTGATCCGTACGCCAATGACCTACCCGACCTCGACCTACCCCAATAGCACGCCTTGTCCAGGCCCAGGGGACACCAGCATCCAGCCAGACGAGCGGTTTTACGAAATGGGTCGTCCAGAAAGTACGGCCCGTTTTCCTGGCATTCATTCTGCACATTACGGAAGCTTTGCCGCCTGCGAAACTCGGGATAGGCCATCCCGCATTACACGTATGCGCTGCATCGAAGATGCTGCCTACCTAGCAGGCGCTAAGGGAGCTTGCACAGTGCAGAGGCTGACAGGCGAATAACGGGCGTACGTACTTTCGGGTTAATCTCAGAGTGAACAAGATGGGGACTTTGGACTGCTCGCGGAACACCACAAAAAGCCTCGCGCACCGGGCCTTTCCCGTGAACTGTCAAAAATGGGGTCAAAGCTGACGGTCAACAAAACTCCACTAAACGATGTGACAAGATATTTCATCTCATTCTTTAACAGTGGCGATGTTTAATGTTTGCCGAATCTCTTCCCTTCCCCGGGTGCCTCTTCTCATCGCATGCATCCTCCGATCGGCGAGCCGCCGTCCGGCCCCAGTTCCCATCGCCCAAGGAGGCTGCCGCCCGGCTGCCGCCCGGTGCGGCTGCCGGTGCACATGGCTCCATGCCGTGGCGAGGCCGGCCCCCGGCTGCCCGAGGCTGCCCACGGCGGTGCGTGCAGCGTGCGGCAGCGTGCGTAGCCTAGAGAAGACTTCGGTATCCAACGCAGCACCGTGAGCAGGGGTCCCAGGAGCGTATACGGCGCGAGCAAATGCATGCAAACTTAAAATTTATTTATTACAGTATTA